GACATCCCAGTCTCCCATCTGAGCTCCTATGCACATCCTTTCCACAGGGCCAGTGATTTAAAGAGAGCCAAAGCAAAGAGAAGTAACTGTTCACCTGTCTGGTTGCAGCCACAGAGATATACACTATTTCCTGAATTTATAGCGTGTCTGTGTATCCATATGCCTGGGGGCTGCACAGGGCAGTACAAAGTCTGCTCTATGCAATCACAAAATAAAGGAGGACTAATCAGTGCCGCTCACTGAATGCCCGGTTAGGAGAGGGGAGGAAAAGCTTACACAGAGCAGGTGGGAAGGTGAAATGTGGCTGGAAAGGAAATGAAATGAAAGGGGAAGCGGTGGGGTGCGAGGCCTGGGATGCAGGAGCTGGGACACCGGCTTGCGGGAGCTGGGACACTGGGATGCAGGAGCTGGGATGCCGTCCGGGATGCGAAGCCACGGCAGCCCCACGGTGCCGTTAGAGCCGCCCGCAGTCCCGGACGCGGCCGTGGGAGGGAGCCGTCCCCGCGCCGTGGGGATGAACCGCCCCCGCTCCGTGGGAAGGAGCCGTTCCCTCTCTGTGGGGATGAACCGTCCCCGCTCCGTGGGTTGGAGCCGTCTCCGCGCCGTGGGGATGAGCCGTCCCCGCTCCGTGGGTTGGAGCCGTCCCCGCGCCGTGGGGATTAACCGTCCCCGCTTCGTGGGTTGGAGCCGTCCCCGTCCCGGCCGCCGCTGAATCTGCACCGGGGCAGCCCCGGCGCGTCCCCGTCCCGGCGCTTTTCCTGCGGGGGACATTCCCGTGACACGGAGCCGGTGCCCGTGGCGTGGAAGCGCGGCCCCGCCGGGGTGGGAGCCCGGCCCCTTTCCGCGCGGCTCTGGCGCCCGAGCCGCCGGCAGCCTCAGCGACCGTCCTGGAGACACCCACGTTTAACCGTGGGGGAACAGAGCAGCGTTTCAAAAGCACCCAAAGAGCCATTTCCAGAAGCATGTTCCACCTGATGGTCTAAAAGCTTCTTTCTGTAATTGCACTGTACAAATAGTTCGGTTAAGTTAAGCTTACCTGCATATAATTTCTAAGAATGGGAATAAAAAAAATACATTTTTTTTGACCGATATCTGCAAACTATCAGAGCTTTAGACTGTTAGAAATTTACTGGTAGAGTTACACTGCTATGAATTCCTCCCTGTGCAGATCAGCCAAAGAGCAAGAACCAGCTCTCCTACATGCTGTTGTAGCTGCTGCTGCTTGTTGCTTTAGAAGTGCTACTGTGGAGTTTGTCCATGATGCAGTTATGGCAAATAAGAAGTGAGGTGTCAACTGCTGGCAGCATTTTACAGTACCAAAAAAATCAGGAGTGGTCACTTACTCTGTTGTTTCCTTCAGGGAACACCTCCGAAGACTATTTAAGAATCCTACAGAATGTCCCGACCAGGAGAGCTGCTGCGTACATGAGAGGTCAGTGGGGAGCCCAGTGAGGGCAGGAGCTGGCAAAGGGAGGCTGCAGAGCTGGCTGAAGAATGCGCTGTTCATGTTATTCAAAATGATTTTAGTGACAACTAACCTTTTGACCAAATGGGCATTTTACAGGGAAAAAATCCTTAGCTTTCCTGAAATGTGGGTGTGTTTAGTAACACACACACACCCCAATCTGATCACATATAAACTTTTTTTTTTTTAACTTGATAAGAAAAAATAAATAAAGAGAGATCTTCTGCACACAAACACATGAATATACATCTCCATCATTTCCCTTCAAATATTGAGGAAGGTCATTTTCATTGCATCTCCCTGCCTTGGATTTCCCAAGGTCTATGTAAGTCCTTGGAAGTTTTTAACACCCGACTTCCTTGTGGGAACTCCCAGCCATCTGGCCAGGGCCTTTTCTTGGATCTTCCTGCAGGAAAACCACAGATCAGGTATCTCCATTTACCAGGAAATACACTACTGCAAGTCACATAAGGCTAAATTCAGGTCACTAGAGCTCAGTGGCTAACTTTAAAATGTGTGTGCTTTCCTTTCTAGTGTCCAATCCAGTAAACAGTTCAAAACTGATCTTGGTCGAGAAGGGTATTTGTGAAGACATCCAGTGCAAGAGTGAAGAGCTGGTGATAAGGAACCAAGGCCTCTACTTGATCTATTGTCATTTGAACTTTCATTTTCCCAACTGTTCCAATGGCCCCACTGACCTCAAGATAGAGCTCCTTGTGAATGACAAAGTCAACAGGCAAACATTATCCACATGGTGCGCATCAGAAACATGCCAAGAAAAGACTTTTAAGACCTTGTTCCAGATCCATTTGACATACCTGAACGTGAAGGACCGAATATCAGTAACACTCAATCATCCTAAATTCTTGAATGAGATTTCTCTTCCCAATGACAACGTTCTTGGTGTCTTGAGGTACAGTGATGAAATGTGAGCAGCTCCCTGACCCACCACTGCTGCCCAGACTTATCTTTCTCTGAACAACAGTAGCCTGCTTTTACTAGGCAACACCTTGTTTTAAATTTCCTATCTTACCTTCTTGCTAGGGTAACAAGGAACTTTGTGAGTGTCCCAGAATCAAACCTAAAACACTGCAAGACCCACACCTGACAGATTCCTCTGGTTTGGCTCAGGGCAGGATTGTTGTTGGACTATCTAGCATATAACCCACAGACATGCCAACAGCTCCTCAAAACAGTACTGTGTAAACACAGATTAAAATATAACCAGGTTATGGGAAGAATATGCAATACCGAGACTTTTTGGCTAACAGACCGCTGGCAAGGTGCCTGTACTCAGGACATGGGGAAATATTTTTAACTTAATTTTATGGAGTAGCATTTTGACATGGTTTTTCCAAAAACTTATCAGTCAAACTTGTAATCAAGGCTTTCTTTACAAGTGGAGTATACAATCACAACTCTGGAGTAGGTGAATGGGTAGATCGTATGAAAGCAAAATGATGAAATTATTGACTCTCAGGCTGGTAGCTAAAACTCTGGGACACGACATAGGAGATACGGAATTTACAGGATATTTCTGTGCTGCATTCTGCTATAGACTTTATGCAATTTATTTCTAAGTGTCTTCCTTTTCACTATTTATCCATCTTTTCTGTTTAAATATTAAGTTCTTTGGGGCAGACACTTTGTATAAGCACAGTGCTCAGCCTCTGTTCTCACCTGGGGTTTCTAGACCTTTTCATAGCAGATATCCAAACAGTAATCTAGTTGTAAATCTAGCCACATAACAATGTTCATTATGATACATTTTCCTTGAATCCTGTCCTGCCTGTTTGACAGTACTCTGTGACACCAGACCACACATTTCTAGTGCCTGCACCTTCTGAAAATCCAAGATTTAGATCTGAAGTCCAGACTTTCCCCAAAACAATTTCAGACCTGGTCCTCAGCTGAGAGCTGTGATGTTTGGGCAGTCCACAGGATAGATGTTATTTGAGCTTCTTTGGCTTACTGGAAAGCTTAGGTAATGAAAGATAAAAGAGGAGTCTCAGGCCCTCTTATTCTATGAATTGCAGCAACACAAGCATTTATTTAAAATTTAATTCTTACAGTGTGGAGAGGAAAGGGACCAAAAAGTTGCAAAAGCTGGTACTAGTTCACTCTGTCCTCTTTTCCATTCAACTCTGAGATCCTAAGGTCTACTTCCACTGGTAGTAGAGTTTTATCCCTTCTGTGCCTGCACCTTTACACGCCTAGAGCTTGATGAACTGTTCACATCAAAACTTTTAGCCATAGATTTAGTTTCTGGCTTCAGAAACCCAATGCTTTATTATTCAAGCTTAGTTGATGTTGTCAACTGATGTATCCTAGTTAGTGTGAGCACACTCAAAATACTTCTAATAGTAGTCATTTGTTACTTGTGTTATGTCACCAGAAGCTGATGGTACATATTGGTGAGGTTTCATCCCATTGACCAAATGTCTTCAAAATATGCAAGAAACTTTCAAAGGGTCATGAGCAATTGATATGACTCATTGCTAGAGATACCCACTTTCTGTTTTGATAAACACTGATGAAAACAAAAATTCCTTTTGCTATTAATGGGGGGGGGGGGGGGGGGGGGAAGGAAAGAAGAAAACTAAATACATTTTCTTTCTTTCTTTTCCTCTTAAAGAAAATAAATTTATTTTTATGAGTCAGCTTACAGCCTATGACACTGTAACCCCCACTGGGATCTCCTCACCCCTCTGTTGCAGATGAAAGTATTTGACATGGTTATGATTTAGCAGTAATTCAAAATTTATTAATGGTGTGAGGTGAATCAAACGGTTGAATTTTAGCAGCACTTAATGACTGACCAATTTAAAGATTAACAAGATGATTTGATAGAATATGTTATAAATAAAACAGCAACTTAATTACAGATTTGAGAACTACAAGATTCAAACTAACTTATTACAAGATATCCTAAATCAAAGTGTGTGTGTATATATATATATATATATAAACAAAAAGTCACAAAAACAGTGTAGAAATATTAGGATATCCAGGGAAATATATAGACATACACACTTGTGAAGACAAATGTGCATATTCAAGCATACAGATAGGCAGAGAGGCGGACGGAAGAGACTAGTGTATAGTTAAAATTTCCCTCTTCTCAAGTTCGGAACAAACAGACACAGTGCATTGGCATTCCTCAACAGGCAGTAATTGTCTGGGCTGAAGTCTGCCTTCACCCAGGGCTTTTGTTGGCTTTGTGGGTAGATGATCTTCAAACCTCGAGGAGTCTGAGCCTGAGCGGTGCCCCAGCTCGGGGGGGGGACGCTGGTCACAGCTCAAAGGGTCTCGCTCAGAATCACTATTTACAGGGTCTGAGATAACTGACTTTCATCAGGTACTTTTCCATTTCAGGCCAACTTGGGTGACGGAATATTCTGGTACTTTCCACCAGTTGTGCAGGCCCAGAGCTTTCTAGATTTTGAAGTTCTGGTATCACCCCCTTTGGGCCACAACCCAAGTACAGAGGTACTGGGCTGTCAGGAGGTATTAATTGTCATTATTGTTCTTAAGTGATAGGAGCCAGGTGTGCTAAGGAATTGCCTTAATGCTCTGCTCCACTGCCTTTCCCAATCCATTTGGGATTTGGCATGTGGCCCCGGGCAGGGGGAAATCACACCAAGAGAGCCAGGAGAGGCGGGAGAAGTTGCACCACCACACCTTCAGGACCTGATAAATCTCTCATGTCCCTGAATAGGGTTTTTAACCTCTGTCTGCCTCCACCTCGATACACATGACTAATGCCCAGAGAAGTTTAAGCAAGCGTGGCAGTCAAGAATGATAGCTCCTGAATATAGAAAAAGCAGCTAATGAAAGAAAATATGCATTTACTCACACGTACCACCGCCACTCTTTTCCTGAAGGCTTTGAATTGAAAGAGAAAGACCATTCTTTAAGAAAATAAAGAAGCTCTCTGTATAGGATTATTTTATTCTATTATTTTGCTAGATGGAGAAGATCCTGACAAAGCAGTACTAAGCTCCTCAGCCCCAGGCTTTTTAATACCACAGGATAACAGAATCTGGCCTCTACTCCATTGCCTCTGAGAAATAAGAATAAATTATAGCCATAAAGGGAGCCCATTAATAGTGTGCAATTTTGCCATCAGTTATAAAAATGTTAAATAGCTTTCACTGAAACAAGGCCCTGAGCCAAGCAGCTTGCTTTCTGGCAGACTCCAAATCACTTCACTCTTTCATCCTTTTTCCTTCTCTTATTTCCTAGCTTTTTAAAGCAGGTAATTTTTGACAACAATCCTGTACTAAAAAAAAAAAGTCCAGTCTGATCTTTTTGCACAATGCCATGTCTTTTCAGCAACAACAATAGCAATGCACTTTGCGGAATAACCTGTTCCCACTGTCTCAGCTTCACTGTTTGCAGCAGATAAACTTTTCTGCAGGAGCATCCTCACTCTTCTGAGGAGCACCTCAGACCTACAGACCCTGCTCTGGTTCCCCACCACAGGGCTCAGTCCATGAGAAAGGGCGGACTATTGAAAGAACCAAAGTCACAGAGAAATCTTGAAAATTCCTTCCCTCGTCCTCAGATGTGGCAAACGTGTGGCTTTCTGTGTGTATGCTCTATTGCTAACTTGACCAGAAACAGGAAGCATCAGCAAGCTGACAAATAAATCTGCTCTGTTGAGGTTTCTTGGCCCTTCTCAGACACTGGAAAAGTTGCACTCTTTAACTATTTTCTGCTTGTCTAAGGAGCATCTATGGGAGTTAATACGTGCCATTATTTGTAATCTTGGTTGTTAGGAAAAAAATGCATATTCCTGGCTTAATTCTGGCTCTTGTTAACTGCTATAGAAAACATTAATAGGGACTTAAATAGAAGTCAAGTCAATGTGATACACTTCCATCCATCAAGTCAATGCAATACACTTCCATCTAAGCTCACCCAGGGGCAGCAAACCAAAATCAGACCAAGTTCAATACAGAAATTAGAGTTGGATCTGAACTTCAACAAAGCTGTGAAGACTTTGAAACATGAACTGCAATTAGACTTCACCTTCCATGAAATTGGCCTGAACTCAAACTCCTCAAAGCTCAGATCTGAAAATTAGATCGTGGCTTATCTGACACAGATTCTTGATTTAGGCTGTGCAACTGCTTACTGAGGGACTTGGGAGTTTTGCATTCACTTCGCTTTTGGTTTTGTTTCATTTTATTTTCTTCAGCACTTCCCACAGGGAGGAAATAGCAAGGTGCTTGGAGAGAAATCCTTTACTGTGCCATGGGCCAGCCAGGGGTTATGTGCTACCTAAAAATGCATAGCAGTCCTATTTCAAAGATCCCACTTAGAATAATAATGTATTGACCTTCTTATGCAAGGTAACCTGACTCTGCACTCCTCTTATGCTCTCAGATTCCTTTGGAGAGCAAAGAGCATTCTGCAAAATCCTTGGTCAGTTGATCATGCTCTTAAATTAATATTTAAATTACAAGCCTATCTATTTTTTTTCCAAGCACCCTATCCTGAAGTTCAAGTAAGAAAGGGACTACTCAACACAAATAACCAACCAAAAAGCAAAATAAGTAAGATGCCTTTTTGGGACCTCTAACTGGGCATTACTAACAGGTCTTTAAAAATTGGAAATGATACAACTTGTGTTTTGTGTGAATAGCAAGGGAAAACCTCAAAGGAAACACAGGTTCTGTAGGAGGAATAACTGGAAAAATGCAAATTCTGATGAGCAACACTTGTGACAGAAGGAGTTGTACTCAGTGACCTCAAAACCTCTTCCACCCTTGGCTTTTTACAGTTATAATATGCTCAATTTCATGAAAGTATGATGGACTATGAGGATACAGAGTCTTGGAATTATGTTTTGCAAGAACACATTCTGTAGCTGTGACCTCCCACCTCCCCACCCCACCACATACCCTCCCACACCCTGCCAAGGGAAGATCAGCTGAATTGGTTTAAATTCCCAATTTCTCTTTTCAGTACTGATCCCAGGA